TCCATCACCCCAGGTACCCATCATCCCAAGAGGTCCCCATTGTCCCAGGAGGTCCCCATCATCCAAGGGGATCCCCATCATCCCAGGATGTCTCCATCATCCCAGGTACCCATCATCCCAAGAGGTCCCCATTGTCCCAGGAGGTCCCCATCATCCAAGGGGATCCCCATCATCCCAGGAGGTCCCCATCATCCCAGGGGGTCTCCATTGTCCAAGGATTTCCCCATCATCCCAGGGGATCCCCATCATCCCAAGAGGTCCCCATCATCCCATAAGGTTCCCACCATCCCAGGAGGTCCCCATCATCCCAGGGGGTCTCCATCGTCCACGGATGTTCCCATCATCCCAGGTCCCCATCGTCCCAGGGGATCCCCATCACCCCAGGAGGTCCTTATTATCCCATGAGGTCCCCACCATCCCACAAGGTCCCCATCATCCCAGGATGTCTCCATCATCCCAGGTACCCATCATCCCAAGAGGTCCCCATTGTCCCAGGAGGTCCCCATCATCCAAGGGGATCCCCATCATCCCAGGAGGTCCCCATCATCCCAGGGGGTCTCCATTGTCCAAGGATTTCCCCATCATCCCAGGGGATCCCCATCATCCCAAGAGGTCCCCATCATCCCATAAGGTTCCCACCATCCCAGGAGGTCCCCATCATCCCAGGGGATCCCCATCACCCCAGGAGGTCCCCATCATCCCAAGTCCCCATCATTTCATGAGGTCTCTATCATCCTAGGGGGTCCCCACCATCCAAGGCGGTCCCCATCATCCCAGGGGGTCCCCACTGTCCTGGGGGTCCTCATCACCCCAGGAGGTCCCTATCATCCCATGAGGTCCTCACCATCCCATGAGGTCCCCATCATCCCAGGATGTCTCCATCATCCCAGGTCCCCATCATCCCACAAGGTCCCCATTGTCCCAGGAGGTCCCCATCATCCAAGGGGGTCTCCATCATCCCAGAGGGTCCCCATTTTCCCAAGATGTCCCCATGACCCTAGGAGGTCCCCATCACCCCAGGGGCTCTCCATTGTCCAAGGATGTCCCCATCATCCCAGGTCCCCATCACCCCATGAGGTCCCCATCATCCCAGGAGGTCCCCATTGTCCCAGGAGGTCCCCATCACGCCAGGAGGTCTCCATCGTCCAAGGATGTCCCCATCATCCCAGGGTGGTCCCCATCATCCCATGAGGTCCCCCTTGTCCCAGGTCCCCATCACCCCAGGGTGGTCCCCACCATCCCAGGGGGTCCCCATCACCCCATGAGGTCCCCATCATCCCAGGATGCCTCCATTGTCCCAGGTCCCCATCATCCCAGGGTGGTCCTCATCATTTCAGGGGGTCTCCACCATCCCAGGAGGTCCCCACCATCAAAGCAGGGTCCCCTTGTGTTTAAGTGTGCGTAAGACGCCGGTAAAGTCGTGCGTTCACCCCACTCCCACCCCAGGAGGATGAAGACTTGGGCAGGGACTTCTCAGAAGTCGCCTCTAACGCCACGGATGGGGTCTTGTTACCTTTTTGGCCCAAAAAGTCAGCTCCTTGTTGACGAGCTGGATGAGCTCCGAGTGGCAGAAGGGCAGGAAGTAGACGATCTCGTTGATGCGCCCCAGGAACTCGTCCCGGCGGAAATGAGCCTGTGAGGACCGAGGGATCGGGGTTTGGGGACCCCCATGGGGACTGCAGTGACCCTCGAGGGCTTCATCAACCCCTCACAGAGACCCAACGCCATGGGGATGCGTCACCCTCGTACAACCCAACCCATCCTATGATTTGTAGTGGGTGAATATTAAAAAAATGAGCAAATTTGGGGTCATTTTTCAAAGTCTCACGTGGAGCAAGGCTCAGGAACCCCAAAATCGGGAGTGAAACCCTACTCGTACCTTCAAGATGGGGCGAATGACCTTCTCCTTGAACTGCTTGGAGATGGTGATCTTGTCGCCGGCCTGGACGTCCTCTGGAAGGCAAAAG